CCTGTACTACTCCGTGATTGGGTTGTAGCCAATGGTGTAGCTTGAGTAGCGTTCCGCCACGGGCGGCATATGACAGCTGACGTCATTTTTCGGACCGTCGATTTTTCGATACCAAATATAGAGGGACATATCCGGATAAGATAAGGGTTGAATATTTAAATGTTACTCTGCATGACCAACAACACCTTTGTGCCATGTCTCACTCCTGTGCAAACGACCTTCCCAGCCCTCCCTTCCTTTTCCTATTGTGGTCACTTTCACCACCATTACCTAAATGCTTCAAAACCATCATCCATTTCATAGAAAACCAATGTGCACTTTACCCTGAGCTGATTGTGTGGTCTTCATGAGCCTATTCCGACCACATTCAGGGCGAACATTTGACCACTGCCCGGGGCCGCAAAAGCAGTCGCTACGCCAGTAGGTGTGAGGTTAGAAACCCCGATTAACAAACTTCACGCTATCGGACTTCAACTACTCAGTTACCTTCGTTCATTGCTTGTCTTATGCTCCCCGGCATGCCGCTTAACCGAACCTGTTAGACATTGGGTGAGCACCATTGCTCTGGACTGATCCGCTCTTTGGTTGCCAAACCAGTTTGTTCTCTCCGTTGTATATGTGGGGTTGATTATCCAGGTGTCTGGTTAGCACAGTGTCAGTAAACACAGCCACCCACTCTCAGATATGTACAGGGTTAGTGGAAGGAGATTAGCCAATTCTAACTTTAGCCAGTACTATGGGGATATCAACGCAAGACGTGAGCCAGCAACACCGTTAACTTGATTACTATTACCAGATAAAAACTACGCAATAATCCGTTTCCATCATATTTCTTACCACAGTCTGGAGTGCTATTTAACCATTTCTTATAGACACGAAACAATACAGTATGAGAAGAACAGTGCGTGGGCGCATGCTACAGAGGACAGATGTCGGTGAACATGCCTGAAACTTATAGCAAACCAGTAACTACCTACCTCAGTCCACTCAGGGGCATGTCAGCTCAACGTGTTATTTTCCCACCGTTAGGTAAGTGCTGCCGGTGTGGAGTCAGTTTTCCCGTTGACACCACCCGCATCTCAAGGATATTTGGGTCCGCTAGACAACTCAGCGGATATAGCAGTGCATTGATCTAAGACTCCACCTTTATCCTCCTAACTTCCCTTGAGTATGATAAATACTCTTCGATAGATGTGGGACCATGCAATTGTCTGGGGAACATGCACTTTAAACAAAAGCATAGTTCCTCGTATAACTGCGTGGTGTGGAGAGATAATTCTCCGCTTCCATCCACATCAATTAACCTCAAATGTGTCCAGATACAGAGATTATACATTTCGGTCGACTGTTCGTTCCTATGTCGACCTCCAACTGTTTCAAAGGAAGGAAGGATAAAAAAAGACGACGTTTTGCGTAACCTAACTAGAGACAAGTTACCTCCATCGTGGCTGTGGATCAGGGCGGTCTGTTGCGGATTAGCAGATCACATCCGTGAGCTACTGTGCTCGGTTTGATAAAGCGGACAGCATCAATAATCTCTGGATGCTGGCTTGGGTGCGCGCGAGGAGCTGCAAAATTTGCTGCGCATGGGTCGGTGCATTGTGTCGGCTGCGTTGCGTGGCCGTGAAAATTGGAAAGTAGACGCGTGTGCAGGCAGCGAGCCCTGTTGCTTCGTCAACGCTACCGTGTAGGCGTCATCACTGCCAGTTGCCTCAACAGCATTCGTCTTGGTGTCCGAACTCGTCAAGAGCAAATGTGCCGTGCTCACCCCCCCCCGACTGTACAAAAGCATACGTGATAGGGTGTGCGCAAATAATTCCACTTTACATTCCTTTCACTGATTACATAGGGAGGCAGAATCCGTTGCCTGTAAGTACACGCGCGTGCACGAGTACATCCTGCTCGGAAGCAAGGGTGTGCCATTGGAGAGACCGACAGCGACACACCGGTGGCCAACTTTCAGCCTGGTTATTGATGTGATGGAATACGACAGAACAGACAGCTGGTGTGCGCTTGGAGTGTTACTCTCCACTCGTCTGTCTGCGGTGTGCTCACCGGACAAGTATCATTCGATCAACTTCATGGCCTACTGCCACGTCCAAGTTTCTTGGGAGAAAGCTCTCTGTGAGCTAAACGAGTGCATTGAGCGAGCAATGGAATAGAGAGCATGAGAGGTGCAAACACGGAATATCCTGCGCACGCGTGGTTGATGTTACCGGCTCCTGTGCCATGAACTTCATGGCCGAGTTAGTCGTAAATTGAACCCTCAAGTAGAAATAACCGAGCTGGAACTCGCACTCGGAACTTGAAGACTGTCGGGGAACTTCCCCACCGTAACATTTCCTAGTCGCGAGCATCCTTATCGCGATGGTTACAGACTCACTGATTGTTTGTCTGGGGTAAAAGTGACCTCACTTTACGCGGTACAACGCATTTACTCAACTGAAACCCCAGAAAATGAAGCATGTCTTTTTTTAACCAAACACTCAACACCGAGCTTGTTCATCAAACATTTATAACGAATGTTTGAGCACGCTGCGCCTTTTACATCGAACAGCCGCCATCTGTAATGCTTAGGCAATAATGCTTCAGAGACTGGTGAAATTCTATACTTTTTCTCATTTAATTGCATCCATAACGCTTTCAAACTCAGCCTTACGGAAATGTGGCTCATCCCTATATCACTCAGACTCATCCTTAAGACAATCGAATATCATCCTTCTAGCGTGAACGCCCCAAACCGCACCACTCGCTGAGTGACCATACCCCAATTAAACCACAGCATATCAGACGAGTTTACGACATGGGTTTCATAGAACGCTTGGATGTGGCGCAGAGTGCGTGCGATTTGACGGGTGCCTAGTCGTGCTTGCCACTTGTATTTAGGAATGATTGGATGCAGTGAAACTACACGCATTCTAGGGGACATAGCTAAGCTTAGCAGTCCCGCGTGATCATGGTGGTTTGTACCTAACCTATAAGGCATTTGCATTTCTGCGTGAAATTCGATTGCGCGGGTTTTCCACGCACGCCATCGTTGGACTGTCCGCATTCCGATAGGCACCCACATGACTGAGTCCGAATGAACTGCTCGTTGGGAATAATGACAGTAAGTCGCTCACACACCGTTGTCGTGATTCGGCTGGCATTGAATTTGGGTTAGTGACAACGGAGGGGCGGTGATAGGGTGTGGACCGCTGTGCGTTTCGGGATGCGGCATGCTCAGTGAGCGCAATGTTGAGAGGCCCGCGTTTGACGGATGTAGTGATTCAAATCAAAGTGAGATCGCGCGCCCTGCACCTTGGCAGCCTCACTGTGGTTGGGTTACGTGCTTTATAGGGTGTCCCACATTTCACTCGCTGATTGCCTTGTTACGCCGTTCTCCTGAGCTTGCTCCTGGGGAACGTTTCATTTCGTTGCCCCATGGTTCCAATCACGGTTGGTAAGACATGTAAGTGCCTGACCGCGTCATCCAACCGCACTTAAACATGGTTGTGTTGTAGGTCGTTCCAGGGGCGACATAAAGTAGCAGCAAAGCGATTGCCGCAACACTCCGGTCGGTTCAGCTATTCTGCTAGTTTCAAGGAATGATCTCAGTTAGGTGTCATATCTAAACTGCAGTAAGGAGCGGCGTACATGACTTGGGTAGCTCAGAATAGATTGCCAAATAAGCAGCAATATCCGTGTTTCCGCCTCTTTTCATCTCGCATATTACGCTTTCCAATAATGTATTTGTAAACGAGACGTTTGGTCTGCTTCAGATCAGTGACATCGTACTTCCGCTTTGATTACCTTACTTGACTTGCTTGTTCTACCTAATAGTTCCCAGTTTGCAATATCATTTCCGTTTGTTCAGAACAACCCGTCATCCCGAACCATTGAAGGCCTTTCACCTTCGACGATTGTGAACTGTAGGGTATGCGTTTCCATCCTATAGGGGTAGAAGCTGTGTCATCGTACTCAGTGCCTTACACGCGGATAGTCACCCTACCTACGAGAATTGAGTCTTTCAGATGCACTGCTGTCAAAGGGATTGTGAACTTTTTGACAAATAACCTTTGTTATCATCAATAAATCGTAGTGTATCACAAAATTGGAAACTTTTCTGGTACGTGGAGGCAAGTCTCAGACTGATGCGACACAGTACAACAACGACGTAGCTGGGGAAAAATCCCATAGCAATGCGATTGGACTTTAACCTAATGCGATGGTCTGAGTACCTCCGTAACCCGGTCAAATGTCTCCGCCAATCGATCAATTTTTTCGGGATGATGACACAACTAGTCCAAGTCACCAATCTCCACTTTTTCACCGATGCAAATGACGCGTTTATACCACTTGTAGCTATCCCCGTCTTCACGAACGCGGTAAGCAGCGGAGCTGAGATGTTCTTCACCATTACGTTTACAAAGTCAGACCGAATCCCAGTCCACCAATTTTATAGGGTTGTAATTGCTCCGCTAATTGCTTCGAATTGGCGCTTTCCCTCCAGTGCCCTGCTTTAAACGATGCCTGTTGTGACACACTTGACCTCTCGAACGACTGTGAACTCGGATAATTGCCCCGTGGACATTTATGTCAGACAATACCGAGGATACCACAGCAGAGCAATTTTGTGTCAGGGCAGAGCTAGGGTTATTTTGTCTACTTAACTTCCACGTGGATGAGACTCGGTGATGTCCATGCAGGTCTCCAGCGTAGTAAGCATGCATCAACAATGTCTAGTTAAAGGAACTGTACACTGCTTGACACTTCTGGCGGATTGTTTGGGCTTACACACTAGGTGGGCATCAACAGGATCAAAGTACTTGTTAGTCCAATACTCAATTATAAGGCATACATAAAAAGTGCCTTATGGTTACACCTTCAACTGTTTTACTGGTGACCGAAAAGCGTGATGAAGATGTATAGGGCAATCATTTCAGTACCACGTCTCCTACTCACGTCTAGCTGTTTACGGGGATTTTATCATCATGCCTCTCTTCTCTTCTGCTACCCAGTTACACGCCTCATGGGAGCAACAAATGCTGCCATGGCTGGTTCGTATCCAGGACACCTTAGTCCAACTTTTCACCCTGGCTTCATCGGCGGTGCTGGAGGCGGAGCTTCTTCGTTGAACTACATCAACAACTATGGACTAGCGTGTCCGCCGTACCCAGAGCTTACCGACGCTCGAAGTCACACGTCGAACGGTAGGCATGTGGGCACCTCTGGAATCACCCGAAGGACTAATTACCCCTTCACCACCCTTCATACAAGTGGTATATCAAGTGGTGGGGGTGGCATCAGTGCTGTATCACCACCACAGTCATCGCCATTTCAATCATTCGGCGTTGGGAAACGATCTGGTGATAGTGTTACCGAGTGTGGAGGCCAATCTTCATCCGCAATAGGTTTGCACGGATCATCATACAATGCGGCAATGTTGGCTTATGAAAAGCACCAGAAAGCCGTTGCTGTAGCCGCGGCAGCGGCGGCCGTGGCTGCAAGTGGTATACACCATCATCATCACCACCACCATTCATCTCTTGCGCCCCCAGCACAACCTACGCCACCTCAGCAACAGCCGCAACCATCCATGAACTTGAATCGTGTCGCAAGCCCTGGTATGAATATCGCTCATAGCATGCATCAACTCCCACACTCGCTACAGCATCACTTGCACAACTCACCTTCCACATTTCGTGGTCTCTCCCAACGGCGAAAACGTAGAGTGCTTTTTACCCAAGCACAGGTGTACGAACTGGAGAGGCGCTTCAAACAGCAGAAATACTTATCCGCTCCGGAACGAGAACATTTATCTCAGATGATCAATTTGACCCCGACACAGGTGAGTTTTTGGCTCATTATTGGTGATGAACTGTAGTAACTGTGTTACGAACACTGGGCAACGAGTTGTTTAGAGATATAGTGAAAAGCCCTGGTACGGAATGGCATGCTTTACTTTGGGTTGTAGGATGAGCCTGGCGGAATGGATAGAAACAGAAGCATCCTGTTCAACAGTTAAAACCGTACATGATTGGCGGCATTCGATTTAATTGTCATGTACCGAAGTAACTCCCTTGATGACCCGAGCAGAGCAAAGTTGTGTTCGTTGTTTCTGTTGGGGAAGTTGTCGAGTACAACCTACTCAAGATCACAGGTACCCACCATCTCGTTACAACGCGCTAAATTGTACGGCTTCATAGTAAAGTTTAGGTGGCTAGTCGAGACGACTGTGTGAGTCGCTCACAACGCCCATATGATAGAACTAGTTCGTAGGTGTAGCCGGGTTACCCATTATCATACACTATTCCTCCGACACCACTAACAGAAGTCACAACAAAGCGTGATCTGAACTTTCACATGGGGGCCAGTGCGGCAGTTGAACTAACCATATCGCTGTCACTCTGCACCGTCACTCAGTGAAGCCAACACTACGACACCTAGTGTCATGGTGTCTAACAAAACCTAGCGCATGCATTTGTGATCCGGTGTCTAACTTTTGATTTCGCTCAATTTTAGGTGAAAATTTGGTTTCAAAACCATCGCTATAAATGCAAACGAGCGCAAAAGGACAAGGAGACGATCGTCTGCACCGATACGTCGCAACCATCCAGCATAGAGATGTGTCCAGCTGTACTTACTCGACCGGCACACAACCAGCGATGCGCTTCAAGGTCATCGCCCTTGAACAACACCACGGATGCCAACGGATTCGCGAGGCGCAAATCTGGCCTCATGGGCACTCATGTGGGCGAACTGGAGGACCGCACGATTAGCACAGATGTATCGAATTGCTCGGAATCGTCGTCGCTGAACGAGTATCAAGAGGATGGCCATTCTGGTATGCATCAGGATGTCTCGTCACTGATACAGGACCCGAAGAGTGGTACGAAAGTACATCTCGATTATTCCGCCCGTAACTTGATCGAAGGCATTATCCCACGCAGTGTTCAGCACCCTCTGTCCGCATGCAAAGACTTGCACAACGGCACGGGCATAGTGAGTCCTGCCAGCTCTCAAGCCAGGACATCGCTTCAGTGTAGGAGCCGTGAGAGTGGATCAGATTGTTTCCGTTATAGCCAGATGCATTACGGTGAAACGCGATCGATGGAGGATTTGGCTCGCTCAGAAACACAGCACAACTTTCCTGGACTATATGCCGTTAAACATAACGAGTTCCAACGGGCTGAAGGCGGTCAAGCACATATACGTGAATTGAGAGCCCATGATGAATCGTATGCAGGACATCCGTTCTCTGTCTATCCGATTTCCATGACGTCGTCTTACGGTTCTGCATATCAATCAGCTACACCTTACTTTTTGAGCTCACACCCGAACAACGAAGGTACTGCAGTTTGTATATTCGATCGATCTAGCGGTACTCCACATACCGCTTCTACGGATGCCAAACAGTTTCGAAGCAACTCTAGAGCATTAGAAGGAATCAACTGTGGTCTAAGTATGACAGACGGAAGCGGATACGAGGTAAAAATCGGCGAAATGATGTCGTGGATTGTCCGTACTCGCTGCATGAAGGTGACGATGAGCAAGAAGACAGTGCGTGGTGCGTTGTGGAATGGACCTATCATCTACACATGCACGCGTGTGTGCTAACCTGGTAAACTTGTCGTTCATTTGCAATCAAGACTGTGCGTCCTTGCCGCCTCGTGCGTGCTACAGGACAACGTTGCCATACTGCTTGACAGATTAATCGTTTGCAGTTCACAACGACGTGTGTTTATCGCAGTATAAGCATTGAGTACGTGTGATGAGTTGGCCTCTCCGGCAACACTCCGTATTCTAAGAAACTGAGCGGTTTACTGGATTATAAATTACTCAGTGTGGGTAGCCATACAAAATAAAATAGCCTCTCCTAGTTTCAAATGCTATGAATATAGCTTCTAGTGAGAGGACGTCATCACCTCGCAGGCTAACCCCTGTTAGTGACAGTGGAAGATAGGTGGTGCTATATCCCAGTTAGTTTCAAATTATGTAGCTCAGACAACGTCCCCCATGGCTTAGTGGCTTAAGCTGCTAGCTAGATGGCATATGCCTCTAGCGCTCATGGGTTCGATCCTCCTTAGATGACCGAGGGAATGCGCGCCACTGACGAGCACCAATATGGCGAAACGCGTCTGGTGCTTTTCCGGACTAGGCTGTGCTATGTAGCTTGTGAACTACTGGGATGAAAGATTTATCAAATTTAAGTTTGTTGAATTGTTAACAATCCATTATAATTTCCCACGACTACCGTTTAAATCTTCCGCATTATTAAACTACGTGCAGGCGCATCTTCCATTTTATGGCGTCAGCATACCAAACCGTGCTAACTTGTTTGTGCATCTCATCTGGAATGTCCGTCGCAGCATCACTCAATCACCAAAAATTGTATGTTCTGCGAGAAAGATACATAACATCGCTGTACTAAAATTAAGCGTTTGTGGCTGACAGAGGTAGATTTGTTGACAAGAAGATGGAGATGTTGGCGTCGACTGAAGCCTTCCGGTGAATGGAAATATTTCATGGTAAATCCTTCGTTACGCTTGAGGAAGAGTTGTGACAGTATTTCGCCGGAAACTTCTGGAAATTCCAGACGTATCACATAGCATTTCTACTTAATTGTTGTCTGGCTGATCTGGTTGTGTTTACTTTCTATTACTTCAATGGTTATATGATTTTAGCTAGGGTTGGAAATATAAGGGAAGAGATGCCTGTTCCAGTTGGTCATACGGAATTTAGCAGCTAACCTAGGAGCCCTACCAAGTTATTTAAACCTAGATGGATCCCCAGCGCAACGGAGGGCGCAAGGTAGGAGTCAATACACTTCATGCCGTCGTGATGGCAGCTTAAATATGATTGGTCTGTGGCAGCAACTAATGCCCACTTGGTGTGGGTCTTCAGTATATACCTGAACGAATGATTCCATGTACGAGCGATGTCTACTACTACTACTACTATTACTACTACTACTACTACTACTACTGCGGTGACAAATGTCCTATTTTAGGTCTAATGGAACGTGTATCCAGTGGGCGGCACGGACTTCGTCCCGTGCCAAAGCTTTCGTCTAAAGGAGTAAGTGCCATGGTCAAACAACGACATTCATCCTTGATCAGCATTCCTGGTTAACACCGAGCCGATGACGATCGCGCTCTCTGCATAGACTTGGGCAGTTGACGACGAGGTCTGGTTATACATGATCAAATCAGTGTAAGTGAGTTCCTTATGGCTATTGGCTAACTCCTTTCCAGATCTGTCTGCCATAGTGACCAAGGGGAACAACCTGGCGGCAAGTGCTTCTTCGGATGGATTGTAGATGACCTGCACTGCACCATTCATGCTCCACACAGGAATTCCTTTAGAAACCTAGCACAGGTGAGCACGAATGTCTAGGAGTTATCGTGCATCTCATCTACAGTGGTTAGTAATATTCTGAATGGCACTGAGAACACTGGACCAGCAGGCACCTGAGTCTTCGTATCGTGCTCCTCAAGCCGGGACAGGTGTCACGTACGTGATGGTCCAGTTTAACCAGTAATGCAGCTTAGTCCAACTACAGCAGCGATGCAACACACGTGCCACACCGGATGCAATGGCGGTGCCCACAAAAGTGCACGGCACAGGTTGCCATACTGCAAAGCAGAGCGACGGAAACTACGCCTACAAGGAATTAGTTTGAGTAAACTGTTCACCAGCTGGTCACTTATTGGTATCGAGTACGTATTTGCATCGACCACTTTGGTTACCTTGGCAGCAGCAACGAGGTCACTCATCAGCTGCTGGTCGCGTGGATAAAAGCACAATTCCCGTTGCTCCTTCGAGGTTACAACCATTCACTTAATGTCTCACGGGTGCCTGCTGGAGGGCTGAATAATCCCTACTTAGATGAGGCTCAGTTGGTTAGGGAACTACCTAAAAACGTACATGCAACTCCCTCCGGGTCCCGGCAGTGCTCGAAACATTATTCCCTGTGGTGGTCCACTGGGGAGGGGACACTGAGTCGAGTTCAACGCGCTAACACGCGATCAAGTATGCTCATTATCAAAGTGAGGAAACAGTGCTTCTTTCTATAAGCAAGTGACATGTTCTGTAAATAATTGCTGAGTCCTGCGGTGAGAGGTAATCAGTTTATCCGTGACCACGTCTGCTTACATTGGGATCGGTGAGTTGTATTCGGATTAAAAGTTGCACCAAAGTACACCTCCGTCATTCCGCATTCGAAGTGCAGTTTACCAAGCTGCTTGCTCCAAACCGTGTATTCCGCAACTGGTTTCGTCATCATTTGTACTCCGGGGGTAAAGCTAGCCAGCCTGAGATTGGTGTAGAACTAGGCACTTAATGACTGGCGGCTAACTGAATACTGAATACCGAATACTGTATTATAGAGCAAGTACAAACGAATTCTGTACAACTCTTTCGAAATATCGTGAAAATTGTTATAAAAGTTGTCAACCGTGAATATCGTTGTCGTTCTCATGTAACATTTAAAATATCCGACTCACGATATTTCAGGACTCACAAATGTGATATGTCATCGTAAGTGTGCAATCGCTCTCTGAATCAAATAGTGGTAAAATAGAAATCTAACAACATTGTGAACTGCTGCACAGATGTTGCCTCTATCACATGTGTAGGCAAACTGTTCCAAATATCTACCACTCCCCGTTCGAAGCACAGTGGGTGGGAAACACTCTTCACATCCGGCACGACAAGTTTGTATCTGTGTCCACGTGTGCTGCATGGTTCTCGTAAGTGCAGCATTGGACTCGGCATGGGGAAGTCACCGAGATGTAGAATACGGTAGGCATAATGAGGTCGACTCGCACCCGACGGTAGGACAAGGTGTAGGGTCCTAGTTTCGCGTAACAGTCTTCATAATTCCACGCCAACTAAACTCGGGATGAGCCTGGTAGCAACGTGTTGGACCGGTTCGATCTTTTGTGCGTTGTCTCGGGTAATCGGAAAGTAGGCGGGCGAACCGTACTCTGGCATTGGTCTAATAACGGAAAAAAAGAGGGGAGTGGCAACCTCTTCAGACCATGTGCCGAAGCCACGTTAGAGCGCCCAAAGCATGCGCAGTCCTTTACGATATAGCCTGTTCGTGTTATCCACGGATTTCAAATCGTAGCGCGAGTATATACATAGGTCCTCCACCGAGGGTATGAGATATAGCGGTAGGCCGTCAAGCGTGTAGGTTCGGCCGTCATGACCCTTCCCCAGACCCATAAATACAGACTTGGCTGGGTTGACTGGGAGATGAACTGCTGCAGACCATGTGGATAGGAGGTTGTGGTCTTGCTGAAACAGGCCACAGTCATCGGGAGCGTCATTTTCTCTCCACATCTTCATGTCCTCCGCAAACATGGCACGGCGATCGGAGAAGATGAGGTAGACTGTTGATGTGGATCAGGAACAGAGTGGGTCCCAGTACAGTGCATTGAGGCACGCCACCTGTAGTGGAATACCAGTCAGTTAGATGGTGCTCGACCTGTACCCTCCACTTTCATCCAACAAGAAAGCCGCGGATCCACCGTTGCAGTGAGACCCCGCACCACACATCCTGTACTTGTGAAGGAGAACCTCATGGCTGACCTTGTCGAAAGCTTTACTGAAATCGAGGAATATCACGTCCACGGACTTCCCCTTGCCTATTGCCTTCAAGCAAGTTTGTAATGCATGAGCGGCTTGCATAAAACCGTGCTGTGCGGGCGTCAGGACTTTTATTGCGTGTGGAAACTGCAGCAATCCCTTCTTCGCGATTTTCTCAACAATCTTTGTCAAAATAGGTAGCAGACAAATTGGCCTGTAGTTGTCTATTTTGCTAGTGTCGCAGCCTTTCGGAATAGGCTTCACCACCGAACATTTCCAGTCACTCGGCACTGAAAATTTGGACAGCGACCTGTTGAAAAGGTCAGTCACGACAGGAGAGATGATGGCCGAAAGCGACTTGAGAATCAGTGGGTGAAGCCCATCAGGTCCGGCAGGTTTGGTGCCGTCAATGTTGAAGAGTAGTTGCCATATCTCTTCAACGCCGCAATCCAGACTGGAGATTTGAATAAAAGCGGTACACATCAAACTCGGAACAGACAACTGGTTATTCGTAAATACAGAAGCGAAGTGCACCGCCAACGCGGAGGCACGCTCAGTGCTGGAGGTTAGGAGCTGTCCATCCGGGCCATCCAGCACTGTCACATCACTTGCCGGCTTCAGGTGTCGCTTCAAGTATGCAAAGATTCTCTTTGGGGCAGTCTTCATGGCGATTGCAAACTGCTCCGTGAAATGTCGGCTCTTATTCCTTTCTGCACAGTTGCAGAGGTTTCGTTGAGTTTTATACCCTTCATAATCATTGGCAG